GTGTTATTTAATAGAACCATTACGTACTATATGTCGTGGTTACTACTGCGTTAAATATTTACATTGTAAGAACACGGATTCAGTGCACATAATGTTAAATGGGGGTGTAGGCGATTCCTTATTTAATATCTAGCTCGGTGATTGGCAATAGACACAGAGCATAGTTTATAAAGTCAGATTACAGGCTTTTATTTATGTTTGCATGGCACACTTATAGCTAAACTAGCTCCAAATTCTGAACAAGCAGTGTATCAAAGCAAATGATAGACAAAATATGACAAATGGCAGCGCATCGAAATCCTGTCACGACCGCATACATGCATTTACAATTTTTTCAAAGTTTATGTGAACACATTATCAGGAGGTTGTGATTATCCGTCCCAAATTTGGCAAAATATGATATACACTGACATATTGGATAAGCTTGTCCATAGATATCAGGATTAAAGTTTTGCACGTCAGATGCGCGTCTTGTCTACAAAAGACTCTTCAATAACGCTTAAATAAAAAGTTACAAAGGCCAAATAAAGTATGAAAAAGGTGCGTTACCCTTTCTCCCCGTCTTCTAGATTACATGCATGATGAATCAAATGAGATAATCTACATAATCGATAAAATAAATGGTAAGAGTTTTATTGATAAATCAATGGATTTCAAGTTTAAAATAAAAACTCTGTTATTTATCTTTCCACAACTCCTGCTTACGTGTATTTAAATATCTCAAAAGCAACGAAATCCCACAGTGAGGCAGAGTTCAGTTATTTGTTTGAAATACTTATCCCTAGAATCTGGGTCTCTCATTTTATATATTGATTTAAAATTCAAATTCAAATGACATTTACACATCAAGTGCAATATTTATTACTTATAAATTACTAAAGTCATACATGTACATGTACATCGAGCACCTTTACGTATTAGAATTCTGAAAAGATTTATTTCATGGAATTTTAATAAGTAGCTATTCAATATTTATTGCATGTGTGTTTACTTGAATAGGTAGATAATTAAATTTCTTCAAACAAGTACATCCTTCATCAAATAGCTAAGTAAAGATCAAACTTGGCAGGTAAGTCAAGGTATTTTATCTCCCCTTTTACGGAATAAACATATACCTCACAGAAGCTGTTTACCTTTAATCTTCAATGAATGTTAAACGACAAACAAGCTATCACTGATTGCTTATTCTGCATAATGCAATATCGATTATAATTATTTAAAAAAAAACATAAACTAAACGTCAAAAGACAGCAGTCATAAAAAAAGTATCCCTTAAAGTCCTCTTGTAAATTTGAACCGAAACTAATTCTGCGCATCTATGTTTTATTTACCATAGCATTTGCAAACCGCAAAGAAGATAAGTAGAGCGCGACCAACGTTATTAACTTTATTACCGAACAAAATACAAGTCAAGTAAACCCCCGCAAAACAGGGTACACAATATGTACGAGAAACTAATATTAAAAGTTTAAATAATAATATTCTTGACATCATGACTCTTTTGTTGGCATGACACTATCCAGTTTACGTACACCAAGACAGAATTAAATAACAAATACTAGATGCAACCTTCAACAGTTTGAGCTAACTAAGCACAAGTCTAAAAGAATATACTAGCACTTATTTCTTCTTTCTTCTTTCTTAAAACGAAATATGCATTCATTCAGATTTAGGTAGGATTACACCGTGTATTCTATATGTGCACAATATATCACAGTAAAAGAATCAAATGAAGAAAGCATCAAGACTCGAATAACAAGAATGCAACAAAACAAAACACGTGTCAACTAAAGAAACAGATGATTCTTTAGCATGACCAATAGAAACTAAAGAATTTTACGCATATGCTGAATCAATTGCCTTTTGGATCAATTAAGTCCAAGTATTGGTCTAACGTACCTTTGTCAGACTGCTCCAAGTAGGTGCCATGATTAACCTCCTAGAGCCTGGTAGTGACCCCATTGTCCCCGATCGTACTCTATTCCGTTCTCCTACTGTCAACACTGCAGTTAGTCCAGCATCAGAAATTCTTCGATATAGTCTTGATTTTTGCGGTTCTTCCATTTTTTTCAAATATCACTTACATGTATGTTTTTTTAAACTGACAACCTAGTTTTTTAATGATTCAAATATGTATATAAAGTTTTACGAAAATGGCTTCACCCATAAAATCAATAAATATGAACGACTTTAGTCCAACCGTTAAATGATTTTCTTCTTCACCATACTATCTGAATCCCATTTAGAGTTGATTAAGTGAAGCAACACCGTTACGCTCATTTATAAAAACATATCACTTTCTCGACTTAAATTCACGTTATCACAGTTAGAACAAGCACTGACCTTTAATTTCAACAATCAAATTTCAAATGAAATCTGTAATAAATTCCCTGGTTGTGTGAATTGCTATAATATTTAACATATCCTCAATGATAACATTTATCTATTGGAAGTCCGATACATCACCGTCATTATGGCCAAACCCGTACAATAATAATAATAAAACCGTGGTATTTATTACAAATTCCTTACGCAGTTGAAATGTGACTAGTTTTTAATGTTTCGTGTCCCCGTATAATAATGATCCTCTTATATCAACTGGACTCTTCTGTTTAAGTACTAAAACCACATAGAATATTGGACACTTTGATTCAACGAAAACAATAAATTAAAGTTCACTGACACTATACATAAGATAGGCACTTAGAAGACTTTAATAATGTAAGCCCGAGATACTTACAAGCTAGCGAAGTCCAAGAAAGCGTGTTACTCAACGCGCATACTATTGACTTAGTCTAAAAAAGATAGCTAATCAAATACAAATCAAACTTTCCACTTGGTGAATCACTACAATTTTATAATTTATATCTGCACAATTCAATATAACAACACATCTAATGCATATTGTATTAAAATCAACAGGTGAGAAATAGATATATAGTCCTGTTACAATTCATTCAAAAATTAGACGAAATTTTATACCAACATATTTCGTTTCTTGAATGAGTTCCATTTGTGGTTGTGTGGTTAACAAATTGATAATTTTAATCCGTGTCGAATCATATTATACATTTTGAATTAATAATAACATCCCAGAAATAAGAAATTTTCTCCCTGTTGTATATATATGCGTCGGATGTGAGAAGTCACGGTTGATGAGTTTTTACCTATCTTTATCTAGATGACTTTATGAGTGTCATTTATCTCTGTGAAGTTCCTGTTCGCATTGTCACCCGTCCGTAACATTTAATCAGTCATATTTATGTTTATTATTATTAAAAATAATATTACAACATTATAGGTGATGGTACTGGTTACAGCTTGGCATGTAAATGTAAATAGGTCTCAAATGGTCAGTTTAGAAATCTTGTCACAATGCTATCATCTCTAACCATTAGTCTGACAAAGCCGGTCGACTTTTTATGAACGATGTATTCAATTCATTGCAAACCATGCATTCGTTCTAAAATTAAGGTATTATTAACAACATAAGAAATCACCAATACATAGAAAATTTAAAAAAATATTTACAAGCTATCAGAATTATCCAAATTATAACCAATAGCAATATCCATAAAACAATTCGGACATGAAAACAAAGGCACCAGAATAGGGAGAACGAGAGGCGATAACCGGCCTTCTGTGAGATACTTCGGACTCTCTAAATACAATATAATAGGGAATTTATCTTGCACGTCCTTTTTTAAGTCCCATGCAAATGTCTACCCTAAAAATGAAAAAAATTCTACTGTCATTGCCAACAAGAGAAAATATATATATTTTTTAAATTATCCATAAAAAGTGGAAAACGGTCTACAGAGAGTTTAACATAATTATGTAACATTAAGGAGATATGGTATGATTACCAGTGATACAACTATCCATCAGAGTTACAATGAAGTGGAAGTAAGCAATTATTGGCCGTCGTACGGCTTTCAACCAAAAACAAATATGCCCGAATAGACTGCAACAAACGACAACCACTGAATTATAGTTTCAGAAATAGATGTTTTTGAATAAATGAAATACAGTAACAGTAAAAGTGTTTTTCATTTTTACCATGGCATTGCCAGTTTGTTTTCGATTTGCGTGTTAGAATATCCTTTTGTTATCTTTGTATACGTTACCATAGTCGATATCTTGAATGTTAGCAATTTTACATTTTATCTTATTTTTTAGCCATTTCAATAACACCATTGACCTGTATCACTTTATAATAATATACTTTAAATACACACATTTTAATGAATGATAAATATAATTACAACTGTGCTACAGGTAGTTTCATGACTCTTTATAGAGCACCTTTTAGTTTAGAACTGTGACCTTTTTGAGAGTATATATACCGAACGGATATGTTGACAGAAGACGTATAAGTTGCACTATAAACAACAAGAAATATTTTAACCATGACTTCTAAAACATTTGTAAAATAAAAACAACAACAACCGATGACTTAAGGAGACTATTCGTGCATGAAAAAACCCATCTATATCATTTCATATATATTTTGTTCGGTACACAGCGGTCATAAGTTTTTAACAAACTGAATGCAAATAGTATATAACGCAACCTCTGTGTGATTTTTTTCCCGCCAAACACACTCTAACTATTCTCCCTGCCATCTTTCTGTAAGAATACTTATTTTCTTTCACTAAACTTTGAAAAACTCCAAAATGAATATTTTTTTTTAATTTTATTTAAAAATAACAGCAGTATATTAAAGCTAACAGCTGCATTAAAAAGGAAGCAATATTATAAATATTTCCATTCTCTTTGTAAAAGGAATACAACAACTACCATTAAAGTTAACAGGCTGGTGTTGGAAAAAAAATATACGGTCTTCATAAAATTAGGTCGTACAGTCACTGAAGTTATTTCACTTAAATCCCGAGTTAATATTAACTTGATACAACGAATGCCCACGATCATTAATAAAAGAAGCACAACTTATAGGGTCCTTCACAATATGAAAAGGAAAAGGAATTCATACATATTAAGCAGTCTGGGAATTCATGGCAAGCCATAACTCTACAATGTTATGGTAACCCATAACCTTTCAATGTTTTGAGATTCCAATACCTAATCCTCTTTCATTTTAGTACGGTGACGTCTTCATTATCGCTTTCGTTATATTCCGGATCTCAAACCGTTACCTCACCGAAGTCGGTATTTTGTTTACATTGACATCCGGGTCACTGTGTAAAAATGGACGAACAACAACCTTCGACATCGCATTCAAGGGGTACGTAAATTAGCCGACTGCGGCAATATTATATGTTACACATGAATGAACCTGCATGCAGTGTTAAACAAATGATTAATTTACATTTTACAATACTCAAACACGCAATTACGCTTTTATTTAAAGAAATTACGCTTTTCCAAACTCGTTCAAAAAATAAAATATACACGAAAGTTATGGTTAACCCTAACTTTATTCACCTGAATGGTTACGGTTTACCAAAACAAAAGAAAGGTTACGGATATCCGTAACTTCAATAGGGAGCAGTTGTTTATTTCATTGAACAAGCTGACAAAATGATTGATACCCATAAGGCAGTTCTTGTCTCAATGAAAAAAGGGGGGTTGCCAACATGTAAATATACATGAAATAAAGCTCATGTTATATATGCATGGTATTTTGAAGAGTAAAATTTCAAAGAAATACTGGAGAACAGAAAAAGTTCAGACTAATAGTATTTTATTAATTTTTAATTTTATTACTGTTAAATTTAAAATAAAATAGCCCTAGATAGACATCTTCATATATATATAGCTGATAACCGTCAGCTGATGCAATTGCGATATTTTCACATTAACCGTCACGGGTAACATTAATGTATTGGCCAAAATGCAAAAGCATGCAAACCATAGATAAACAAACAGTGATATAACTGTGAAATTTAGAGTAAACTAGCCCAAGATAGACATCTTCATATTCAGCATGGCATATTGCTCTCTCAACACGGTCAGCCATTTATCGTCCCCTTCCGACAGACTATCATCGTTATTTGTTTCAAAACTTTAAAGAGGAGGGGATGTATATCCTTTAGGCAACATGAATCGTTCTCTATTAAAGGAATGTGCAAGAAGTTTACATATGAATGTAAGATTATTTTTTTTCTTTCAGAAGCATGGCACAGCAAGAAAAAGATATAAGACACAACAAGACATTCAAAGTGATTTTGAATAAGACAATTGATTGACTTTTTCAATGTATTCTTAAATAAATCAAATAGTTGATGTAAAATGGTGTTTTGTTCTCATCTCTTAAGCCAATTATCAATGATTATTGACTTAAAATTTACCCCTTTTAGAAGTGTAACGTTTTAGTTTAAAAAGAGAAGTTATATTGAAAAATCTGAATTTGGGACACACGTTTTAGTCAATGTAATTTCAACTTAAAAATGTGTATAATGTTTGCATATAATGTCCAATGGCAAATATGGCATGCATGTTCAGGTTGACATATGCATGATGTGTATAAGATAGGTAATAAAAGTTGAGAGTGAAAAACTAAACATTATACCATTGTGGTAGGAATGTGGGCTTTCTTGCACTGTCTGTAATCTGTCCACCTATATTTGTCGATTTTGTCCAACAAATATTTTCATTACTGTTTTTCCCAAAACTGCTGATCAAGATGAGTTCATATTTGAAGAGCTGCTTGATAGTGATGAACTGTGATGTGTGAACATTTTTGTATCTGGCACCTGTTTCCTGTTTGCTTATACATTGCATTTCAAAATGTTGAATGTTCCCAAATTTTTCATTACTTTTATTAGCTCACCTGGCCCAAAGGGCCAAGTGTGCTTTTCTCATCACTTGGCGTCCGTCGTCGTCTGTCGTCGTTAACTTTTACAAAAATCTTCTCCTCTGAAACGACTGGGTCAAATTTAACCAAACTTGGCCACAATCATCATTGGGGTATCTAGTTTTAAAAATGTGTCCGGTGACCCGGCCAACCAACCAAGATGGCCGCCATGGCTAAAAATAGATCATAGGGGTACATTTTGTAAATTGTAGATTTTGGCTTATATCTCTGAAACCAAAGCATTTAGAGCAAATCTGAAAGGGGTAAAATTGTTTATTAGGTCAAGATCTATCTGCCCTGAAATTTTCAGATGAATCGGACAACCCGCTGTTGGGTTGCTGCCCCTGAATTGGTAATTTTATGGAAATTTTGACGTTTTTGGTTATTATCTTGAATATTATTATAGATAGAGATAAACTGTAAACAGCAATAATGTACAGCAAAGTAAGACCTACAAATAAGTCAACATGATCAAAATGGTCAATTGACCCCTTAAGGAGTTATTGCCCTTTATAGTCAATTTTTAACAATTTTTATAAATTTTGTAAATTTTTGTAAATTTTTACAAAATATTTTCCACTGTAACTACTGGGCCAAGTTCATTATAGATAGAGATAATTGTAAGCAGCAAGAATGTTCAGTAAAGTAAGATCTACAAACACATCACCATCACCAAAACACAATTTTGTCATGAATCCATCTGTGTCCTTTGTTTAATATGCACATAGACCAAGGTGAGCGACACAGCCTCTTTAGAGCCTCTAGTTAGAAACGCTGCTGAACAGAATGACTTAATATTTGGTAAGTGGCTTGACCATGATGAGTTGTGTCTGCCATTTTGGATGTGTCAAAATTTGTAGATATTTCTTGTATTTAGATACTTTGAATTGTGAATTTTCATATGCTTAGCAAAACAACTGATTTATTCTTGTTTGTATATAGAATGAATCACTGTGTATTCATTAAACTAATGATTTGTTATTTAAAAAAAGCAGGAAACTCGATCAAAAGTACAGAAATTTTTATATTGATATGATCTAGATATCAATCAAAAACATCTAAAAACATTTTGAAAACATTTTTAAGGCAGTCTCACTTGAAAGAAAACATCACAAAAACATTTTTATAACATTATTTGATACTCATGATGTTTTTCAAACGTTTCAGAAAATATTTCTAGAAAACATTTTTTAAAAGATTATCAAAATGTTTTATCCGCCATTGGTTTTCACATTATCATGATATTTCTTGACAACATTTTAATTATATTATGCAAATATATTAGAAAACGTTTAAGCAATATACATTTTAAGTTTTTCTCAAGTTTTTTTGTGATATTTTCATGACATTAGACACAACATTTTAATAACGTTTTAAAGATGTTTTTGTGTTTGCTGGGTTTATACTCCAATCAAATTTTATAGGTCTAACATTTATATTTACTCTAATTCATTGTATTCTGAAATGGATGCCATGATCAGCATGGATCAGGAAGATACGAAATATAGCCTTTTGTTTATGGTATGGACTACCAAAACCTTTTTATGACTGAAGGTTATGGTAAACCCTAACTAGAAAGGTAATGGATGCCCATAACCTTATCAAGATAAATGAAAAATAATTTCTCCCAACCTCAAAATGCACAGTTATGGATATCCATAACTATGAAGGTTATGGGTTACCATAACATTGTAGAGTTATGGCTTGCCATGAATTCCCAGACTGTTAAGAGGCGTGGTGGACGAACGCTAAACAAACAAATTGTGATCGAATAATTATACCGTTGTACTGTTAAAGATGGATATAAGATACATGTAATATAAATCACCACAGGACATCACAATAAATAGATACCAAAATCGACATGTATACATTTAATCTATTCTTATCGCATTTAAATCAAGAAATTAAATTTGAAAATGCAAAGCGACATCAGCCTTTCTACTCCACTAAGTATTGTATTGAGTCTAGCATTCATTTCATTTGTCAACCGATACAAGGCAATAAGTATATAAACAAATTTTGTAATATTCTTCAAATGCATTTAGTTTGTCAATGATATATATGAGGGTTTAGATAGAGGGGGGGGGGGGGGGTCTTCATTTCCTTATTTTTTATACCATTTTTCTCTATTCTTCATTTGTTTTGCCCTTCATTCTATATTCTTTATTTTCAGCCCCTCTGTTACTCTCTATTCTATATTTGATTTGCCTATTTTTCGATATACTTTATTTTTTCAGACATTTATTCTGCAGCTTTTGCCCATTATTCTCTAATTTATAACCCCGTCCATGCAGACCCTCATATATCAAACGATCTTTAATATACTTTTGATGAATTCACATAAACATGTTACAGAATCGACAGGTGCTTGATTGTGTATTGGATGTAATAGACATCGTTATTTTATTTTGATTGTTTTCAAAGCATATTAAATTATCATGATTCACAACATGACTAGGAATATTAATATGATTATAAAATATTGCCAGTATCAGCAGTTTTATTACTTTACATGTATTATACGCAGAGCTCTGTACAAAAATGGAGAAAGAGTCCGTAGATGGTCTGTTGCAAAGTAAAATTTCTGTCCCTCATTTAACAGATTTTCCAGTGTTAGTCAAAATTTCCCCGATCTTCATCCCACACGGCCTCTACTACGGAACCTACCTATTGAATTTATAGTTAATTTGTTTTTGTCCTGAATATGCATGAAATATTTGCCACTGGATGTTAAGCAACCAACAATCAATCACGGAAGAAAGAAAATCAATCAGATGAAACTTATTTGGCCACTCAAACTTTTGCGTTCCTTGTGAAAGTTACTATAGAAAAGCTGTTTAAAAACAGAAAAAATAGTTTACTATACTTGACTTATAATATATTTTTTATGATCGCGTTACTGCATGTAAACTTTTTCTCAAAGATTTTCAAAAGATCATTGAAAAGAAAATGCAATAATTAGATCATTTAAATGTTATTACTAGTATGTTGATTCCTAATTGAACACCTCAGCTCAATACAATAACAATAAAATACAAAATGTACAAACTAAGGTATTTATATACGCACCAAAATTATAAAGTTTTTTGACATGCATAATATCTCGTAGAGGGAACAAGATCAAACCAATTTTGACTCCGCAATAAAAAATATTAAGATGTGGAATGAAACAAATATCCACCAGAGACAAAACGACGTAGATGTAGGCACATACATTTTTTTTAAATTTGTGTTAACCTTAAAGTTAAACCATAGCATAACAAGAAAAACATACAAGCAAACAAACAAAAAACAACAAGAAACCCACGTTAAAGCAATTAATTCATTAATACATGTATAAGTCAGTGGAGGGCATTTTAGCGGGAACAAATCGGACGGTTTTAGCGCTTATATAAATTATAACCCATTTTAGCGCAAGATATTTAACCCATTTTTAACGAAAAAGTGAAATTATCAATGTCCAATTTGCGACAGAAATTAATTTATATTTGAATAATCAATCAAAATAGTATTAAGACAGCACAACTTAAATAATATTGCAAAAGGAACTGTTCCTTTTCATCATTTGGTCTAGATTAAGATGTAGATTCATTCATACTTCTTCTTCATTTGGTCTAGATTGAGATGTAGATTCATTCATACTTCTTTGTTTGTATACGTTGTTAACATTTGATAACAGTATCCAGCAAGCCGTCACATATTCCAACTTTATTTCCTGTTTGTTTCAACATTATATTTTCATGTATAAAAATAAGAAGATGTGGTAGAATTGCCAATGAGAACTCTCCACCAGAGACCAAATGACATAGAAGTTAACAACTATAGGTCACCGTAGCCAAATTGTAAATTCAAGTAACTTAAATATCACGGCAGCATGGAAGACTGTTCATGGCTTTAGTATGGTGCGTATTACTCAACCAGGTAAGATTTCTCAAATGGGCTATCGAAAATACAGGCGAACGGATTAATTCTGCGCTAAAATGGGCTATGAAGTCTGAACTAAAAAGTCCCTTGTAGTTTTGAAATTTTCGCTAAAATGTCCTGCACCCAAAATACAAGTAGGATTTTCATTTAGGATTGCCAAATATGTTTGAAGAGAACAATGATATTTGTGAATACCTGATTGTTCTTATTTAACATACCAGCCAGGTAATCATCAAAGAATTTATATTAATTTCTATTTCAGATTAACTGGATAGAAATTTTTAATTGGATTAGTAATATCAAGGATTTGAATAGTCTTACTATACAAATCCTTGGTAATATAAAAAAAAATCAAAAGTATTTGTCAATTTTAATTGGATTACGATAAACTATGTCAACAATTTATTTACGAAATAATTCTCTTAAGGGAAGGGTTAAACCTATAATCATGACATATTTTATTATTTGTAAATTACATACGGTTTTAAAATGAAACATAGTAATTTATA